TAATTTTTTTTTTTTTTTCTACAAACCCCCGCACCCACAAAAAAAAAACTTTTTTGGGGCAAAAACCAGCCCCGCCCCCCTTTTCCGCCATTTTTTTGTGGGCTTTTAACCGATGCCCCCCGGTTCCCCCCCCCTTTTCCACTTGCCCCCTTTGGTTTTTAAAGAAAAATTGTTTTTTTTGGGGGGCCGCTTTGGGGGGGATTCACCACAAAACTTTTCTTTTTTTTTTTGTTTGCCCAGGGGGGATTCCTCCCCCTGGTTTTAATTCCTCCCCCCACCCTTTTTTTATTAGGGGGCCCACCCCCAAAAAAGCCTTTCGTTCCAATTTTTTTTTTTTCCCGATTCGATTGGCCCATTTGGGGGTAAAAAAAAATTTTTGGGGGGGGGGTTTTTTGCCTTTTTTTGCGGGGGGGGGGGGGGGGGGGGCGTGTGGAACAATGAGCTGGAAAATCAGCAGAGGTCCCCTTCCGGTGATAGAGGCTGGAAGCGCATGTACCTGGGGTGCTGCTCCAGCAGGCACGCTCATGTGGGCCATCAACGGCAAGTAATCAAACAATCAAACAATCAAACAATCCTTCCCGACGCAAATCCCAAAAGGCGGCGGTGCACCAGTACACGGATGAAAGGCGGAGCTCATGTACACAATTTCTTCAATTTTTTGCAAAGAGAGAAAATACAAAATACGGCTGTGAAGGCGGCGGGGTCGGAGAAAACGCACTTCCACACTACGATCTCCACCTCCGAGCTTGCCATGCCAAGGCGGCGGGCGAGAGCAGGGTTGGTGGCTTTGGTGTGATACACCTCGCTTTTTCCCGACGGCGACCGACACCAGTTACATACCCCCACAGTTTGAATAAAAATAAAATAAAATTTCCAAGTTACCGAAGATTCCAAATTTCCAAAAAAAATACAACTTGATCGAACGGGTTCCTCGACGGCAACTACTGCTGTACATGGACAGAGACGCGCCTAACGCGGTTTGCTACAAGTCAGTCGATACACCTCGAAGACTTGAAGCAGCAGTAAGGAACTGACAAATGACCCAGCACCAGGGAGCAAGCACCCTCGGCAACAAGGTGATGTCAAGTTCCTTCAAAAGGTGCAAAGGGTGCACAAAGAAAGAGAATAAACGGAGCAAGCAGCGAGAAGCGGCAAATGTTTGGCCGCACGCGCTCTACCAGATGTAAAGAACAAAGAACCACCAACAGGACATTTCATGGTTTTTGGGAGAGAGAAAAAATCTCTGTACCACAAATAGAGATGCGCACACGTATGGTACAACAGTTTTCAAGTTTGTTGATACGACACAGCTCTTGCCCACAGGCACAGATTCTTCTTCACGCAGGTACGATACAATTGTATACTTGATCTTGAGGTACACGACCCGACGTATTACTGACGCCATTTACACACGTGCGAACTTGGTCGTTCCGTCGTTGTAGGTATAAATCAGAACGTCGTCGTCTGCTTCTCGTCCTTGGATCTTGATCGATCGGTGTTGCCAAAGTGCTATCATAGATTACAACAGCTTGTACCGCCCATCCGACCTTTATCACTGCCGTCGTCTGGCTGTTGCCCCCCATGGCAATAAAGCCTTCAACAGCAGCGTCGTGACGAAAAGCTTCGACATCTCTCATACGAACATGGCACTGCGGCGGCCGAACCTTGCAGACCGATCACACAACACCCTCCGACTCTTCAAACCCTGATCAACGACCACCGGTGACCCGCACTCTGTTGTCGTTTGTTTTTATATGATGAGATGATGGCATCCAATCACATGGCAACTACAAGCAATCGACAAGAAGAGAATAAACTTGCCGCCGCCGTGCATAGCACCACGTGACACGTGATTGTATCGCCCACAGGGAAAGCACCAGCGACACGGAAGTTTTCCTTGCCTCGCAGCAATAAACGGCGGCGTCATATGTCGACCCACACCCCCCCCCGCCGCCTTTTTTGAGATGAGATGTAGGAGATGCCATGAACTGATGAAACCCAAACGTCACACAGACACATGACGAACCTCATTCAAGGTTTGACCGCTGTGCGGGGCCAACCCCACAACTTACCCCATTTCCGAGGTGATGTTTCCGATCTCGAGCTTGAGGAGGTCGCATAGCTCAAGGCTCCTGAACACCGCCACCGACTTCGACTGTTGTCCTCCCGCAGCCGCCACCGTTGCCACAGTACCAGCCATGTGGGCACCCTTCGTGGCACAAGATGAGGCCAGGACCAGCAGGCGCAGCAGGCGGCGCAAAAAAGTAGAGGGATGTACAGGGGCGGGAAACGAGAGAGGCCAGCAGAGAAGGGCAAAAACCTTGTGAATATTTTGTCTGCGTTCACCTCTGGTGTGTCAAGGTGTAGAACGCTCAGTCGGCGTACGGCCCGGCGCCATGTTCACGGAAGCAGGCAGGCGACAGGTGACAAGCTGGTGCTAGGAAAAGAGAGAGACAAGCTGGTCGCACGGTAGCATCGCATACACAGGGCACAGGCGCCCCACCTGAAGGGCGCCTCCTGGGCCACGGGAGGCAGATGCCCCTCGATTGCTGTTGGCGCCGCCACCACCGCCACCGCCGCCGCCGCCGCCGCCGCCGCCACCGCCGCCTCCACCTCCTACCCCCACCCCTGCCCTCGAGTAGCCGCTCATGGAAGTCACCACACGTTCGGAACGACACAATCACACCTACTCGTCGCGCTGTGATGTGTACCCACGACGACAATCGTGAATCGCCAGCAGCAGGAAATAAAAAAAAAAATGAACTATTCGTATCTTTAATGCGAGCTCGTTCTCTCCCGGAGAAACAAATTGGCGTTGACGCTGCTGCTGGGCAACCACAGGGACAAAGGCGCTTCAGAGCACGTCCGTACTTGGCAGGAACGTATCTTTGGCGCTTGTGGAGTAAAAAGCACTGCTGCAAGGGTGCTTCGAATGTGTGTGAACCTCTTGGTGAGACGGGAGTCTGTCTGCAAAAGAGATAATTTGAAAAATTCAAGTGATTGTTCGAAAAAAAAAAAAACGTGTCGTATCCCACATCACACTTCGATAACTCACGTACAAGTAGTCTGCCGGGTGGTTGTTGTTTCTCGGGGGTGTCGGCGAGTGTTGTCGCTGCAGCTCCTTTTTTTACGTTGTAAAATCGTTCTGACCGCTGTGTCCCATCTCCCAAAGGTTGAAGGGCCAAATGGCGAAAAATAATCCGTGGCCACAAATGTTGGCGCACAGGCGCACAGGCTACCGAAACTAAAACTACGTACAACAGCCAGCCGTAGAGATATTTATTATGTAGATCCAACAGGTACGTGCTGCCGTATCATACATACGTACCTACCTGCTTAGCTTGTGGTGTACATAGCTCGTGGTGCGTGTCATCATGAAGACACAGGCATACGAGACTGCTGTGACAGCGACAGGCTCGTCGTGTAGCTTAGTGCCTCTCTTGGCTCCACTCAGTCCTTTGGTAGAGGACGAGGCGGTAGCTGGCATACGTACGTGTTCGAAAGAGTGCCAACGGTGCCAAAAATCGTGAGCCTCGAAACCTGAAGCCAAAGAACTTGCTTGAGCACTGGTTTACCACTACAGCATACTGCTCTGTACAAGTGCTTTCACTGAAACCTACATGTAGATCGCGGCCATTGGTACCATTCAATATATCTCTAGAAACTATGTGCCGAGTAGACTGGTACTTCGGCGTATTATAGCCTCGGTGGAAACAAGAGATTTTCGTGTGCATAAAATATAAGTGCCGGCGCTAGCTAGCAGCTAGCTATATTCATTTGCCTCACCATGCTGGTTGGTGCTGTTGATCAAAACGAAACACACCTAATCAACGCATACATCCAAATACCGTAACAACTCAGTGCGTGGTGCCATGATACTACAGCAGCAGTAGAATGCGGAATAAACAAAAACCAACCGTGTTTCGACGCCTTCAATGAATAAATGTCATGGGAATATCCAGGCTGCAATAGGCGACACGTTATGGAACAAGACCATCAAGTTTCACGCGTTCGCGGGATGGGAGGGGGCATCTAACAGAGGAGGAGCAGGTCGTACACACCACTTACTTGTAGCAATACAGAGAGTCATTTCACCAGGAAAGCGTGCGCCTCTTCTACAAAATAAATGTATCATACTTATGTATGCTTGTGATATTCCCCAAAAAGGTAAGCTGCACACTATGCATATTTAGTAGCTCGCTCGGAAGCTGCCAGCTGGGACAAACACAGCAACCCACCATCTTCTAGAACTCCACCACAAACAACGTCAACCCGAAAGCTGGCGGTTGAGAATGGGAATCCGCCATTTTTCGTTCAAAATATTAATATTCCATGCAATACAAGAAGAGTAGCCGCAAAAGCTTTCACGAACACCTAAAGAACGAAGCAACTATAAACAGCAGACATGTGATCGCTGAAGACTTACACGATACCAGCAAAGCAATGTGCTGCTCCTTCGGTCGGGGGTACTGCAGTATGTACCATCGGTAACGTCCTCACGCAAAACCACCGAGTACAAACTACCGCTCCCAATACCCTGTCAGTACGCCTGACCATTCTGCCCTCTTCTTGCTGATGCAAGGTTGATACTATCGTTATATCGTTAGAGTCGCGACCACCAACCACTGTAGTACGGATGGCCACCAACCACTACCCGGCCAAGGCAAGTCGATGATATACAAACCACACACAAACCTGGCAAAGAAAGGAAGAACGCCAAAAAAGAAAGAGGGGGGTTGGGGGGGGGCTGGCGCCTATGGCGCTGTGTGCGCTCCAACAAGAGCACGCACGGCATGACGCGCTATTGGACTTCTTCAGAGCATGTCCTCGAACGCTTCTTCGCTGGTCATCTAGCACGGCAGGTCGGGCGATGAACAACGGCAACCAGGGATAGATACGGAGGGGCACAGAGACATGCCGGGGCTTAAGACATCGCAGGAAAGTTGTTCGATGTTGAAAGCAAGAAACCGCACAACCGAGGTGGAAACTGCAAGAGTCAGGTACATAACCGTAGCTTTCGCTGTGGATCACACACACACCCCGCCGCACACGGACGAAACGGTGGAAACATCGCAGGATGAGCCACCCTGGACCCTTACCTGAATGAGAGTGAGCTGCTTCGCCTCCGCGGGTATCTTGAACTGGCACGCCCTAACCAAGTTGTCCACGATACCCTGGGGCATCAGAGGAACTTCCGGTTCACTCAAGCATCGGTGCGACTGTACGAGCGACATCAATTGAAAGCTACCTGTAGATCACATTCCTGTGTCATGGCCTTTCTGGTATGGCCCACTCACATCGAATGAGGAAGAGGACATGACAACGTCAAGTACTGCTGTCCATGTACAAGCCGTAGAGATGAGACCAGCGATAAAATAGTGGGCCCGACTCGCACCAAACTCAGACTCTACATACATACGGAGGAACTCTGGACTCGGGCCATGGGGTAAGTACTACAGACAGGAGTTTCACCAGTTCGGCGGCTTCGACGACCTCAACCTCGCAGTTGTAGCACCCCCCATCCCGGCAGAACGGGGCTTTGCTGTCTTCAGGCATGCCCGAGCACCTGGGCCGGGAGAGGAGGAATGGGCAGATCGTCACGCGGACGCCGCTATCCTACACGATGGAGGGCATCGACAGGCGGTCCGAACCTTGATCAGAGGTGAACGGGCCCCATTTGTGTTCCGAAAATGAAAGGGTAACCATGCACCATAAGCCCTTAGGAAACACAAGAGGGTATTATCCACTGTTGCTTGCCCATTGCATCCAATGCTCTCCCGCTGATGATAGACTCTGCTGAGCTCCCTCGTAACGATCTGGCCCGTTGCTTACAGCACAAAGGAAAAAGAGACAAAGAACCAAGTAACTGCCAAAACAAAGCCAAGGAGCCCGGCGTAAACCCCGCGGCACGAGTACTGCTGTAGCACTGCTGTTGATGCGTTGTGGACTACGGGGTGGACCTGTACCTTGAAGCAACGTCAAGCGCCACCTCGCCTGGTTTACACGTCACCTGGTGATGGAGGGGAAGGAGGAAGGGGGGCTTACTATTGTCAAGGCAATGTCACCACGTTCACCGTCAGAGAGAGAGAGAGAGACAGAGAGAGAGAGAGAGAGAGAGAGAGAGAGAGAGAGAGAGAGAGAGAGAGAGAGGGCCGGGTTGGGATGTCATTTTGCCATCGAAACAATTCCAGATTCTACTGGAGACGATTACTGAATACATAAATAGTCTACTGCTGTATCCTGTATGCTAGTGCTCAGCCTACATGTCCACACCACATGGACTTGTACCGTCCGTAAACATGAACGAATGGGATCATGCGCACCTCTGACGACATCGGACTACACATCAAACAGGACACGTGCAAAGCAGTGCTGCTCTGACCTCGACTTCGGATGGCTTAAAGGTCAGCAATATATCACCCTCTTCTGCTCCTCCCACTCCTGCCGCTGCTGCAGGTGCTGTTGCTCCTGCTCGACTCTCAAAAGGTGCCGTTGCTGGCGGCGGCGAAGAACATGATCCGGGCGGCCGTGGTGGCCGCAATCGTGCACCATGCGTAAAACATGAGCTGGTCCTTGCCGTTGACAAGAAACATGTGACTGCGATGACCGCCCACAATGTGTTCATCACGACGTCGACAGAGAGAGAGGGGGGGCAGAGAGAGCTAAGAGATAGACAGCAGAGAGTGAGAGAGCCGGACCGGCAGCACACCGGGGTCTCCGCGTAATGTGAATACTACCCTGGTGCCCCACGAAATCACACCTGCGTTCCCCCGAAAGCCCTGCCGCCGCTGCTGCTCCACTCTCCACTCTCCGGCCAGCTGTTTGTCCAATCTACCTCTGTTGCTCTCACCTTGCACTCTTTGCCGACGCGCGGAATAACAACACTGCAAACCGCTGGTAAGCATGAGTCCCACGACGTCGGTGCTCACTGTTCTCGGGTCCCTGATTTCAGTCTCAGGTGAGCCAGCTTTTTCTGTTGAGATGCATGCGGGTGATGTTTGGTTGCGTTTTTCCGTTCCCTCCTCTCGAGGCGGCTGTCTCTCTTTGCTCTCACGGAGAGGGCCGTCACGACCGCCTATGACCCCAGGAATACAGAGTCCGGCCTCGTCCTCGCCGAAGCGTTCTGCCATCTTCCCACGGACCATCCGAGTTTCCCACTCGAACGTGATCGCAAAACGTGCAGACACCGGGGAGAGAAATATGCGCCTCAGATCATGATCTCTCGCCACATGCAAAGTTACAAGTATAAATAGTGTATGTGCAAAATGCAATACATGCAAGCAACTGCTGTTGTTCACATACGGTATGCTGCTGCTTTTGGGTGTTTCGTTGTGGCAACGAGAACAGCAGGTCGTGATGTAGGGCTTAGAGCTCGCCGGCATTTATCGAATAGCGAGACTTGCTGGCTTACAAGCGAGCACGATTTGTTCTCAAAGCTGGTTTGGTTGTGTTCCAAGCCACGACACTCGTCCGCGCAGCTCGTGTGATTATTTTTTTGGACGTTGGTACTATTATACTAATGTATCTATAACCCTTAACCCTTACAACTTACAACGACTGCTGTGCACGGGTTTTGTTGGATGGTATGCATCCCTAACAGCCGTAGTCTTTGCAGGCCCTTGGTGCCAGGATTGCAGCAAATTTTAATTTTTCTTCTCTCGGCACCACAAGCCAGCAAATATTAATATTTCTTCTCTCGGCACCACAAGTGTTGGATCAGTACGGACATACGAAGGTACTGGGTAGAGAGAGATCGGAACGGTTTTTAATGTGAAGACAACAACAACAACAACAACAACAACAACAACAAGCCAGCATTTTTTTCACTTGGATTTAGACTGGCGGGTTTCCTCTCTTGGCGCACCAAGGCCAGCTTTGTCGAGGTCCGCCCTTTCGTCCTTCGCTCTCCCTCCGCACCGCGGGCTACAATTAATTGATTTTTTTAGTAAAAGGTGGTGCCTACTTGCCTATGATACGTGTACACCCCCGATGTCGTCCACGACTATATTGAACGCCTAGGATGTACGCGCGCCGCTGCTGTATTGGATGGCTTTCACCGGCCAGCAAATTCCGCCCGAGCCGGTCGCCCCGGTGGTCTACAGCAGTAGTGGTATCCTCGCATTGGTCGTGAGTTCGAATCCCCATGTTGTTGTTGTTGTTGTTGTTGTCTTCACATTCAACTCGTGTCAGTTGCTAATCCCAAAATCTAGCGAAGACGCGGTCCGTGGTCACAAAAATGCTAGAGCCATCAGAAGATCTGAAGAACACGCAAACTAGCAAGAAAAGGGTACACAAGCCCGAAGACGTACACCTACATCCCTGCAGCAAGTTTGCGTGCCCAAAAACTGAACTACCCGTCGACACACTACATTCGACTACAGCAGCAGCATCCCCCCTGTCCCACACTTTACCAAACAAAACGAATGTTTGTCGACTACAGCGTACAGCTGTGTCTGGAGTGCTGCCTGTACAAAAACACCATGGTAGGCATGATACAAGTTCGAGGCGCGCAGCTGCTGTCTGAAGTGCTGTCAGAATGCGTCCTTAGACATACAGTGAAAAAGAACAACCAACCAAAGCCATAATTGCATTTGACAATCACCGAATTTACCCCCGATCATCTCTGTTGGACACAATAATCGACACTGACTAGGAATCGTTCCACATTGAAGGGGTCTTCCACGATGCAGGTACGCAATAAACGCACCCGGGATATCCGCGCCATCTCTGATGCGTCTTTCTACAAAACCAGTGACGTCATCACACACACCCAAGACCGATGTTCAGGAAAAAACGGAAAATATTGACAACACGAAATTTTCGTCCGTGCGTCACGGTTCGATGTCGTCCGTGTGCTCCGATGCCGCTGCTCCGGTGTCGCTGCGGTCAGTCCTAGCACGACTAAACTCGGCCCGCTCCGTCCGTATACGCTCTTGTTGCTGTCCTTCCCAGTCGGTTCCTCGCTTTCTCCCTCGTTGCACTTAGGGTTCTTGGTCTGAAAATTCTCGCGCCGAAGGATCAACCAGCCCACTCAGCTCGTCACCACCTGTTCCCTCCTCCCCTTTGATGGCGAAACCAGGTTACTGAGACTGTACAGCTCCCTCTAGCAAACCTAGGGCCGTTTAAATAGTGCCCGTCCACCTTTCTGATGGCGTCTGCCTCCGCGCATAAAACTGAGATGGTCCTTGCTGTTTATACATGGACGGCCATGAGGCCCGCGCATCTGCACTTTTGTACCTGACGCACCAGTGCCGACCCATCTCTACCACTACGCACGCCTCGCGGCGGGTGCGCCGCAGCAAGAAGGTATCGGTCCCTTGAGGGTGAGTCTAGCCATGCTCGCTAGAAAGACCCCCCCCCCCCCCTCGCTATGGGCCATGCTTTAGCAAAAGCCTTGCCGAGGCAGCGAGGAGAAGGACGGAATGGGGTGGAAAAATTCAAAAAAATCGGGTGAAACTTGAGTGAAAGCGAAAAATAGCTGAATAGCGCTCGTGATTACCAAACTTGGACGTGAGCACCGTTGACGAGGGAAAGGGACGGTTGGACCCTTCTCGTGATAAAAACACAATTCAGCACGCACCGCAGGAGGAAGGTGGGGCACGAACATACATAACAAGAAGAAAATAGCCCTGGTGTCTAACCCCTCCTGTGTGACCCTGGATGGTTGTATGCATATATTATATTGTTGTACGAAAAAATATGGTGAAAAGTGTAGTACTCTACATGAACTGAAAAGTGTAGTGCACGTCTCACCACGACAAATGGGGGGACTGTCGCCATAATAAATAGGACGAAAACACACACAAATTGTTGTATGTATCCTACGCCAACGAGACATGAAGTATCGTAGTACAGCAGTAGGTGTCCCGGTATTGTGCCGGTGTATGCCCAGTAGGGCAGACCGACACTATTCCGGCCACCGGTACTATTCAGAATAGGAGTAGTGTTTACACATTGATAGTAGATCTTTAGGACTAACGCGTTCTGATTGGAAGGGCGTTGTTCCAGAATAGTGCCTGAATAGTGCAACTATTGCCTGGCACTATTCAGGGTCTCAAAATCCCTCAACAGCCGTGCCCGCTTGGGTATTGATGAGTGTACGATTTCAGAGTGCAGCGCTCACGATTTGAGGGGCTGACAGAGAACCAAACGAATGGTATACGGATCAATTGTGAAGTGGGCGACGTGGGCGTGCTTTCGTGAGGCTCCTATAGTGTAGTCGATCGAAGACACGGCGTTGGTCATAGTAACACGGAGTTGACGAGAAATAATTGTTGCGCGCGTTCTCTTCCGACCTCAGCCTATGCACTAAACTAGTGAAACGTTGCCGCTGCCTTTAAGAACTGTAGAGGACCGTGCTGACCGTTCAACAGGCACCTCGCAATCAAATGATGTGTACGTATGTAGTGGAAAGAAGGCCGTAGCACTATTCAGGCAACCTCAAAGGCACCGCTCGACAGCGAAATAATGACGCTCATCATGCACGCACCCGATGGGCCTGGGAGGTACAACATGGATGTAGGGCTCCTCACTTGAACACAACCAAAGCAAATGCCACCCAAACGAATGAAGAAGAGGACCAAACCTCACTCTGCCTTGGATAAGCTAGATAATACGAGCCTTCAAAAGCAAGGTCAAGGTAACTGACCGAAAAAAAGCACCATGACACCGCTGTACGTAGCTATCTATGCTGATCTACTCCGTCTGTGGCCCTCAGCGTAGAGGTGGTAGGGTCTTGAGCAGCAGCACGTGTGTACTCCTACCAGTGGTGTGAGGAGTGTACTACTATTGTGTTGGTGTCAGTGTCTGTCTCTGTGTGTGTCTTCATTATTCTGATCGACCGCGCTAACCGGCTGGCCAACGAAAATACTTCAGTCTCAGTGCGGTTAAACAGAAAATAAGTGTTTCTCAAGGCCATGATCTGGGACCCCATGAGCGGGTGCCAAGGCTAAATCATTCTCCGGATTCAAGACAGAAACGGTAGCAACAGCAGATATCGCGTGCCACCAAGGCTGCTACTTTGCATACGCATTCGTTTCGGAGTTCGTTCATCATTTTCCTACCACTACCACTCTCGAAACTAATACATATTTCACTGTTTTTGGGCGTCCATCTCTATTCCTGCGGCATTTGTCGTGAGGAAAGTCATCTGGCTCGAAATGTTGGTCGCTTCAACGCCATATTTTTGTATTTTCGTCCTCCATCATCACTGTTATCCTTCTCTACTCTTCCCTTTCCACCTCCTCCTTCGTCACTATCATCACGCTCTTTTTCGCCCCGCCTCACTACTGCTGAATCCCCCACCTATTGGCTGATTGGTTGTGGTGAAATTTGGTCGAACAAGTAAGGGCGTGTACTGACGTCCATTTTCTGGGCAGGGAACAGGGAACTCGGAATTATCGCCTGATTGGTCAGCCACACAAAAATAACTTTCCTGGAAACAAGAAATGCCGCACACGTTCCCTGTTTGAGGTAGTTATGCTGCACCATAATTTTAACTCCCGAGAGAGTTAAAATTAACCAACAGACCGTAGGGAACGTGGAACACGGGCTCTTCGGTGGCAATTCAGGACGTGGTGGGATGTGTGTGATCACTCTCGGGCATGCGGCTGCCACAGGTGGTGCATGCTACCGGTTCAAGCCGAATAGGCATTGCCACCATAATTAGATGTCTCGCGTGCGAAGAAACGGCGGCGGAGGCGCGTGTAGCCGTTGTATGGGGGAACACAAAGTGTTGAAGAGACGGCAAGCTGCCATGGACCATAACTCAACAAAGCATGCCTTCCAGAGCACTGTCGAGGGTGCGGATTGCATGGCGAGCACCGCCTGTTATCCGTTACGTAGCACATGTGTTTGATGTGCTCTCGTCAACAGCTCTAAACCTACACGACCTCCTCCCTCCTCTACCCCCCACTCGTCTTTTTGCATCCAATGGTTGTATGTGTTGCCTTCGAGTACCTGCGGGCCGCAAGCGCGCGCTGAAACGTTCCGTGTTCCTGGAATTGTGTTGCATGTTAGGACACAACCACACGCAACAGGGAATTCCGAGTTCCCTGTTCCCTGTTCCCTGTTCCCTGTCCAGCAAATAGACGTTAGTACACGCCCTCAACCATGACGTTTAAAGACGTCACGAGTTCGTCCAGACAGAAGCTAGCTCGCAGGTAAACAGTTTCCGAATCCTGTTGGTGTGGTAGGCCTTGAGGCGAAGAAAGGCTGTGCGTGTGGTCTGAACCGGCCCTATTGAGGGGTTCGATAGTGCCCGGATGAGCACTATAGCGGGCAGCCCTCAATAGTGGCACTGTTCAGGCCTCTGTCTGTCTCAAGAAAACTTACCGGCACTATACCGGGACACCTACTGTAGTTTTCTCAACTCCGGATCTCATGGCTCCGCTGCTGCTGCTGCTGCCACTTCGCGCGCTCTTGTATTTGTTGCTATCCGACTCTTGACTCTCGGTTGTATTCATCATCTAGTCTCCGATGCTTTCGTGGTGCCGATGATGGCGCCCCGGGGGGCCCCGTCTGCATTCGCCGCCAAGAACAAGGTCGGCGGAACCCCCACCATGGTGGCCACTCCCGACAGGGTCTCCACCTCCGCATCCTCCTCGGCCTTCGAGCCCACAAAAGGGCCCAACGCGCCCCTTCGTGTCAACAACAAAGGAAAGGTACGATTGGGCGGTCGGGGGGGGGGGGGGGGATAGTTGGGGCGCACCGGGGGATGGTTGGGGTTTCGAGGGGAAGGTAGATGAGGCCGCGCGAGCACTCTTTCCCTCCTGTTGGAGGGATGGGTGCACAAGACGTAATCGATGTTTGGGGGTCCTTAACTCGTGCACGTGTGCTAGGGTTGTGCTTGTAGTTGAGTTGCGCCATGTGTGATGTATGCAGCACAGCACTTGTGGCAACGCCAACTTGAAAAGTCACGAATAGAGCGGCCAAGCATCGAGAGTCAGTCCGGCGACCACCTGTCTTACCCACCGCTGTACCCCCGTACTTGATAGTCAGTTTTGCAATTGAGATGTCTGACTCCACGCGCTCCCTGTCCCCTACCGTGTGCGGTTGAGAGCTAGTGTTTCTCGTGAGTTCATCCGTTAGCCTAGGTTCAATCAGATTCCATGTCCACTTACGACGCTTGTGTGTTGGCGGGTTTCCTCTGTGACGCCGGCAGGCTTGGGTGCCCCAGCGGGCGCGGCCCCGCCGCAACCGTAAGAGCGAGGCAGTTCGCTCGATGGTCAGGGAGAATGTGGTCCGGCCTGCGAACTTCATCTACCCGCTTTTCATCCACGAGGAGGTGAGACAGTTTTTGTTTTTTTGTGCATGTGTCAATCTCTTCATGTACGCCGTTGTCTGCCACGGTCGCTTGCTGCACAAGTTTGGAAAGTTGACACCGAGTAGTCATCACCAAGGTGGGTGTATCGCAACGCTCTCCGTACAAGAAACCTTTCAGCTACTGTTTATGGCAGTGGCCCCTATGTAAGGCCGCATTGTGCCATGGGATTTCACCTGGCACTATCCAAAGTATGAAACAAAAACATTTGAACTATTCTACATACGACACGCGAAAAACAGGCCTTGTGACTTGTTCAGGGACCACTGCTGTACTGTTGCAGTGGGCTAGTATCCGTGTACTTCCATTTTCGCATTGTCAGATTAGGACCAGTCATTCTCAGGGTTTTTGCTTCCCCACTGTGCAGTTGCTGTCAAGTCGCTCTGTGCGTCTCACTTTCACTCGCGCGTGCCCTCATCTCAAACCACATTCTGGTGCCCCCGCCCCCGAACTATTGGGCAGGACTTTGAGGTAGAGATCAAGCCTATGCCCGGGTGCCTCAGGCACAGCCTCCCCCACATGTTGAAGGAGGTGGAAGAGGCGTGGCAGTTCGGCGTGCGCAGCTTCGTGGTGTTCCCCAAGGTAAGTTTAGCGCTGGGACAAGGGGATGGATGATGGCTTGCGCGGTATTTGTTTTTTTTTTCAGGCCGGCCGACCGTTCTCCAGTTTTCCACGTTGGGGTGTCTTGCCGTGGTTTGGAGTAGTGGAGTTTGTCTGTCTTAATCGCCACATACTGCTCATTGTTGCTATTCGCGGTCGGCGCTGTGACCGGCGTCTTCAAGCTTTGTTCCACAAGCACGGTCCATTTCTTTTTTTCAAGAACCTTTTCCTGACCCCCCCTCTTGCGCGCGTGCTTCCCAGGTACCCGACGAGCTCAAGACGAACTACGCGGACGAGTGCTACAACCCGAGCGGCATCGTGCCTCGCGCCGTGAGCATGATCAAGGAGAGGTTTCCCGACAGCATCGTGTGCACAGACGTGGCCTTGGACCCGTACAGCGACCAGGGCCACGACGGAGTGGTCCAAGACGGCAAGATCCTCAACGACGAGACCATCATGCAGCTCACGAAGCAGGTATACCGGGGGGGGGGGGGGGGGCTCCTGTCGCGTCGCGTTGGTTCATTTTTGTTGTTTAGCTGGTGACGGATGGGGCTGTGCGCGAGCTTGGCTCTGACGGAGAATGTGTGAGGAACGACGTGTACGGTACGCGCCTTCGTGAGTGGGTTCTTTGTCGTGTTGTTGGTGCTGTCGCTGCTATCGCTGCGCTTGTAGACCGCTTGCCTTCCTCCAGAGGCATTCCCGCGGTACTCCCGAGTTTTCCAGTCACGAGACACCCATTCCTTTCTCTCCGCCTCGCTGCTGTTGGTCGGTTACATTTGGGTGTGTATCGTCGATGGGCGTCTCGTTTTCAAGCAAAATGATTACCCCCGCGCGTGCACTCACTATCCTAGCGCATTAGAAGTGCTTCCGAGGGACGAATGTATCACGCACACCACTTCCATGTTTCTGAGAAACCCTGTCGCCATGTGTAGAGAGCCTGGTCGTGGAGTAGTCCGTCGTTGCCGTTGGTTTCGGAAGGGACGCGTGTTCACAGTCAAAACAAGTGTTGTATGGCGTCCCCCTCTCCCTCGCTAGGCCTGTCTTTTACCCAATGCTTGCCAAGGGTCAGCGAAGAGCGCTGTCGACCTTGCAGCACAGCAGCGCCCCCCCCCCCCGCTTACGCTGCTACACGTGTGCCGCCTGCCACGGACGGATTTTGTCAGGTGGTGTGCCAGGCCCGCGCCGGTGCTGACGTCGTGGCCCCGTCGGACATGATGGACGGGCGAGTCGGGGCCATCCGCGACGCTCTCGACTCGGAGGGCTTCACCGACGTCTCAATCTTGGTAAGAAGAGTTTGCTTGGCAGGGTGTCTGGATTGTCTTATGTATTTTGTTTGGCGTTGGTATCCCTGCCCGCTTCCGTTGATCTTGGCTCGCTTCGAGGCGGAGGAGGAGAGGTAGGTGGTTCCGCTGCGTGCCCCCGTGTGCGTGCCACGCCCTCTGTCGCATCCAAACAGCTCCTACACAGCAAGGTTCTGGGCATGTTGTACTACTATGTGCACGTGCAAACGGCGTCCAAGTTGGAGGTGCCGGAGGTGGATTATTTCATAGACGGCTGAGGGCCTCTTCGTGGTGGGCTTTGTGTAACATTTGTATCCCGATCGAGCATGCCACAATGTTCCTCAGCACAGCTTGCCGGTCGACATGATGTGTCCTTGCTCTCTTGAATAACACAATCACAGCTAGCGAATCACCAGCGGGGATGGAGTTGCTGACGGTGAGAGACGTAGGCGTATGCATAGCAGATGAAAGGAGCCAAAAGTGAGAGCACAATAATGGTTTGTGGTTCGAACGAAACGAGGGCAGACGTATGGTAGGCTATGCCTCCGTCCCCGTCTTGTTTTCCTTCTGTGTCCGCTGTTATAGGCGTACACGGCCAAGTATGCGTCGGCGTTCTACGGACCGTTCCGCGATGCCTTGGACTCGCACCCCGGGTTCGGCGACAAGAAGACGTACCAGCAGGACCCCGCAAACGGAAGGGAAGCGCTTCTGGAGGCCGCTCTTGACGCCGCTGAGGGTGCCGACATGCTCATGGTAGGGGAAAAGGAAGGGAAGGGGGCACGCAGTTGAGCTTTTTTTTTTTTCGAAAGCAGGAACCCTTGTGTGTGATCACGAGTTGGAGCACCTGCCCGGCAGAACTGCTGCGAGCGCTGATATACAGTGATGAATAAAAAAAATGTTACCGTCACGCCAGTTTTTCTGCTACCCTTCATCAAAATCGTGGGTTTCGTATTTCCTCTGCACATTACACAACTCTTTTAATGGGGTCTAAGCAGTAATTTGATTCGTGGCGTGAGCCTTGTTGAAATTCGATCGCAACAGCGGCAACACGGCCGTCTTTTGTCTCCCAACACATGGACACCTTGCGGCCGGCCTTCCGGAGTGACTCGCTCACTCGCCGTCCCGAAACCAAACCGAACTGACCCATCTCTTTTTGCTGTGTGCGGCAACGTGTTGCGCTGCTGGGGTGTCTGTCACAGGTGAAGCCCGGCATGCCTTACTTGGACGTGATCCGCCGTCTGAAGGAGAGCACGCCCCTGCCCATCTCAGCCTATCACGTGTCGGGGGAGTACGCCATGATGAAGGCGGCAGTGGAGCGGGGATGGCTGGATGAGAGGGCGGCGGTGCTTGAGGTGAGGCGACGATGATGTATCGTTCACGATGTTGGGGGGTGTGGTACCAGGCGATGGGATGCCGTATGCGATGCGATGCCGCATGCGATGCGATTCCGCATGCGATACCCGACTCACGATAATCGTTGGTATTTCCGGTGATTCGAGAGCCATGTCCCACTACGCTTGTTTTCCCTCCACGATTGCAGTGTAATCGATTGCGGAACCGTTCCGTGCGTGCGAATATATATATAGATATTTTCACACCGCCTCACTCCTCTTGTTCCTGTGTCATTTCGGCCAATCTGTTACAGGCCATGACTTGCTTCAAGCGAGCCGGTGCGGACGTTATCCTGACGTACTACGCCAAAGACGCCGCCAGGTGGCTCTGTGAAGACGGGCTTGTCTAGACATAGGCCGGACAGCCCCCCTCACACGGTCGGCCATGGTCTCGCGAATCACGCAATGATCGGGCCGGAGAGCCGGTGCTTGAACGTGGCCACATCCGCTTTAGTTGATGTAAACACCGATTGTCGGCGCTTGTTGTTATGATAGTTGTCGCTGTGATGTTTCGTTGGCACAGCTATGCACGTTTCGACGGCGTAGTGTTGCCAGCGGCGAACCACTTTTTTTTTTCTTTCGGGCCCGCGAGACCGCGGGAACACGTAGAGCTCGACCTCCCACCGTGCTTTGGGTTGGACGTGCTTGCGTGCGTGGAATCAATGTTCTTGTGTTTTTCCCCAGGAAGAAGGATCGCACTTGCGCTGGGCTTGTGCAGCTCGCCATGAGTCTGGTTGTTGTACCGTGTGGGGTGAACTGGTATGGTTCGTGCTCATGTTCACTGGATATTATACATCACGTACAATAGACTGGATATTATACATCACGTACAATAGACACTCTGCCGTCCGCGAGAAAATAATCCATGTATGTATGCATTGCAACATTCGTTTTGGTGGGGCTTGTGGAACCCTGCTGTACATCGCATCGCAACGCTACACATGATGCAATCTTTCTCCTTGCGGGACTTGGGCGGTGAGGCGCTTGGCTGAGGCTTGGAACAATTCCAGAGGAAAGAGAAGCGAGAACGAAAGGCAGCCGGAATTTAGCACACACATACCTCCGGACACGCATGACGCCGGCCGCCCCGATGGCTCAGTTGGCAACCTCGTTGCCTTCGCGTCGCCAGATGGCGGGTTCGAAATCCCGTTGGAGTAGAGACATCGCCATGTAGAGGCGGAAAGCGTACGGCCGTGAGCAGCACAACGCGAGGGCAGATACTACTGAACCCCCATCGCGTCCAAAAACCAAGCACCGCATCGGGAAAGGTGGAGCGAAAAAAAGCTCCAGGGTTCTTCCTGTGTAAACCCGGGTGGTGGGTTCAAACATGTTCCGAAAATTGTAGACTCGTGCTCAGAATATTTGGGCGTATCAACACAGACTTGGTACTCAAGGAAGGCCCGAAGACTGATGAATCCAACTTCAGCTGTTGCGCGACCCCCCCCAATTTAGTGGACAACTTTGCATGCAGGGCAAGTCACGTGCAGCTTTATCTGGTCATCATGCATTCGAACAAGAAGATATTAGTAGGCGTCCAACGCACAAGCAGCGGCGGTGGTGTTCTTTGTGGCGCCGGCTTCGTGCGAACAACTGCAGCAGCTCCGCTACCATGACTGTAAACGTAGGGTTACATCGACCATGACGGTGTGAACCTCATGGGCCTCTCAACTTGGGGCACTGCAGCAGATGCGGAGCGCTACTGCTGCGGTTATTGAGGGGGCCTTCGGTATGGAAAACCCTTTTCGGAAGGGGGTGGGACAAGCTGCCAACGAGACATGCGCTAAAGACAACTGAAATAGTCCGCTACCAAAATACCCATCGTGTACCCTCTTCAACGCATGTCGTGTACATCGTACATAGAGCAGCGAGCTCTTCGGCCTGAGCGCTGCAGCCGTCTGTGGCGCCGGGCTGGACACCACAAGTGTTCAATTCCCGGCAAGTTTCCACCTGACGAACACATAGACTAAGCGCGTATATTCGACTGGCGCTTTCCCCACTGTCCTCTCTGGATATTGGCACTGTTTCACATGCACTATTTCCAGCGACACCCCGGGGTCTACACATATGTACCTTCCGCGTACCGACCTCACTGACCCACACGCGTTCTTGTGGCTAATGCTTTTGCAACGTAGGGAAGGAAGTATCCCCTCGCCAGGCTGGTCTTGACACCTGTTGTGCTTTTGGTCCAAATTACTCCGTATGTCCTTCACGACCCAGCTTCCAGCGGGGGTACGCCGCTGACGCTGGCATATACCATTGCGAGCGGTCTCACCCGCGATAAATGGACAAGGAGGGGCATCACGTAGCACCCTGCCGAGCTACGCATTTAGCTGAGTTGTACCACTTCGTTGTTCCCGCCCGTATCCATCCTCAGACGTGGTCATGCGAGCCTCAAACACAGCAGCTCCGCGCCCGGGTGCCAACGCTGTCCCCCAAAACCGGACCTCTTCGCGGCGACAGCAGTCGCCGCCGCCGCCGCCCTCCCGACCGCCTACCGTTGCTCCTGCTCCCCTCGCGAGTGACACCCACGGCCAGGGAGTCTGGATGTCGTTAAGCACTTCCCCCGAAGACACGTTCAGCAGTCGCACGCTGTCCCCCTCCGCAGGCACCGGCTCGGCGCCGTACCCGCCGCCGTGATCGTTCCTGACGTCGTAGATGCTCCCGCCGATACCGTTTGGGAGGCCGTCGATACTCGAAGAGGTAAACCTTTCCCAAGCATGGGGTTGAGGTGGGAAGCGCTCGCCGCCGCCGACTACGTTGGCAGCGCCGGCACCGCCGTCCGCTGCCGCCGCTGCCGCCGCTACCGGCGTCGCGACTACGGTCTCCGTTGCGTCCAAGGCGAACTTCGCTGGCCAAGGCGCCCGCTTCCCTTGCCCCCCGGGCGGAACCAGGACCTCCAGCGCCCCCCCCCTATGCCCGGAGAACCGCAGATCGGTGACCTGCAAACAGCCCGAGCGGTCCTTGACGAGGCACCGTGTCCCGTCGCGCAGGATGTGCGTGTGGTCTACAGAGGAGGGGTCCGCTCGGGGGGCCAGCAGGGTCCCGGCGGCGGCCGCGGTCCCGTGGTGATACGGCTGTCGGGAGTCGACGAGGACAACGGTGCCGTCGCGCAGGCCGCAGACGAGCGCGCTGCCGGCGCCCGGGGCGGCGGCGGGCAGGAAGGACATGGAGAAGACGTCCCCCGACAACTAATTTACCCCGTGCCATTAACGCGCGGAAAGACAGAGACATAAGACATAGACATAGACAGAGACAGAGACAGAGAGAGTCAGATGCCACGTGATGTGCGTGGATGTACAAGGCGGGGGGCGGTGGTCAAATTCGGAAGATCCGCGGAGGGAAATAGACCGAAGAAAGGTCGTTGGAGGGCAATTTGGAACGCCCGGACATGTTGAGAGAGGTCGATACCAGCAACGCGACACACGGTAGGCCAACCCTGAAAGGCGGGGGTACCGTCAAACGGGACCTCACAAACCCGCCCGGCACTCGCAGCAAAAAAAGTCTAAGGTAGCGGGGAAAAGCCTGTGCCCGACTCTCCTCTCTCTCGCGAGTGCTCCAGTTAGGACTTGCTGACCACACCCGTTTCTAGGACACTCTCCCTGTCTACCACAGGTTGCAGCAAATTTCTTGCTTACCTTGGCTATCGGTATCGGTCGCTGCTGATCTACGTCGAAGAACACCACGGGGCTGCAGGTGCTCGGCCCGATGGCCAGTCTCGCCGGGGTTAAGGGGTCCCACTCCGTGCACCAGGCGGAGCCCCGGTGCAGCTGATCTCGAATGAAACAAACACAAGACGCGTCACAGCAGCATGTTGATCGTTCAGGAAAGTTGGACTGGGTCAGTCATGTTTCCGGGTAGATGGCCGAAGGGAGTCGGGTGCAGCCTTGGGCTTTTCCGCTGTCCGTCGTTTAATCGATCTGCAACGAGCCCCGGTGTCTTGAGATGCTGCATGGCGGCACCCGTGAATTTCGTCCGCAAGGCACAAGCCGACGTATCCGTTGACTGATCGCCACCCGTTCGTCAACGGTGAAATGCACGGGAAGCCGTGTCGGCCAATCAAGTCACGGCCTCAATCACACCAAAGGGTGCCATAACCACGTGCGGCGGGAGGGGATCCAAAAGAACGGGCCGAGTAATGCACAAGCAACGGCACATTCACCACAGCTCTAACCCCCACTACCCGACTCAAATATAACCATCCCACCTGTTGATCGACCAGGCGCGCCTCGGAAAAAACGTTAACCAAATCCCCACGTCCGGTCCAAAACCTTGCAGTCACCCCGCCTGGCTGGCCACCGCCGCCCAACGACGCTGTCGCGCAGGCCCATTCCTCTGCGTGTCCACGGAACTTGATGTCGGAAACCTTGGCGCAACAAACGCGCATCGTGGTAGGGGTATAGTGTTTCGCAAACGTGGTCGTCCACGGAGCTGGAAAGCTAAGTACAAAAGCAAAGTAGGGTCCTCGGATGAGCCACCCTCTCTCCCTACGCTGCACAACAACCAAACCTGTCCAACCGACCTGGCTCCTCCAGCGTGTTGATGCAGCTGTCAAGAGCACGCGCTCCTCCACTTTCCGAACCCCGCCCCACCGTGGAGCGAACCCCCGAAGCGGGGCATCACCACCACCCCCGTCGCCGACATTCATCGGGGCCCCGGTCATCATCACTGCAAGCCCGCCGTTCTTTCTGCCAGCGATGAGGACCCCCCGCCCGGCATCCCAGTCAACGGCCGAGTAACCGGCGCCGTGGATAACGCTGGTGTGCGCCCAGGGCGCGTGGTCCCGAACCCGGAAACGAGAGCTGGAGACTGCCGACTCGAGCCCTATCCGGCGCAGTCGTTCCGGACCGGCCGGCAAGCCTGCGAGAGCGGCAAACCGGGCGATGGGCGGGGACGCGAATCCGGGGGGGGTGCTCTTGTAAACGCAGGCCGTGGTCGGTAGGCCGTAGACCTCGCAGCCCTACACAACTGCCGGGACGGAGCGATATACGTCGGACCAGGCTATCGACGTTTTACAAGGATGAACCAGAAGCTGGGCGTCATCCTTGCATTTTGCTGTGCCAAACCAGATGTGCCATGAGTTGATTGGGCATCCAGGCTAACCAAAGGTTTCACTTTCGGCAGGCACGACTATACTTAAAAGCATAGGGGGTCGATCTTTGCCCGCTTGTACACAACAGGCGCGCCACACATAGGGAACCAAGTCGCGCTTCACGTGTGATACACTTGAAGAACAATCTTTCTTGTACACTCCAAGTGGAAAACTCAGACGGAGTAGCTCATACTTCTAGTTGCAAAGAGCGTTCGAACTACCCATAATGCAGCGGACATCCTATAGCGTGTACACTCTTCACTCTAGGACCGAAGTCCACAAGCTCACAGGATATACCGCAAAAACAACCCCCATCCCCAATACAGCAGTTTGACAGCTCCACGCCACAAGAGTCTACCCTTCCTCGACCACTCCACCTTCGAACCTCATAGGCAGGAGAACTATCTGTCTCAGTTTTCACGGGGTGAGCGGGGGGGTAGAGGTGTTGTGTTCTGGGTGTTGCAACGGCCGTGCGTGGTGATTCGTAATCTGGATTTGGCGGCCGATGGGGGGTGATTTAACTCGTCTGCTGTACCGCAGCACGGCAGATTTCCTCCTCACGTCCACTAGGACCTTACCGCACGAACTCCGGGTTCTATCGTCCCAACCCCAAAGCCCACGTCGACTCCTCATGGCGTACGGGTGGAGCCCTCTTCTCGCGACCGAACGGCTATCCAAGTGCCCGGCCCAAGGGGCAGCATCCGCAGGGCATCCCGCAGAGGCAGCGACAGCGACATAAGTACGGCCATTGCCACCGTGATTTGCCACGAAGTTACTCCGTGCTTCGCCTCCGCCGGCCTTGCTGCTTCGCGCCGGCGGGGTCGGCGGCCCAGAGCTTTTGCTTTTCCCACTGCCGATCTTGATTCTGAGGTTTTGCTTCGACTTGCTGTCGGCCACTACTATCCCGGGGGTCCCCTGGCAGTCCTTGACACACCGGAAGTATCGGTTGCGAGCAGGGTCGAACATGTGGCCCGGTAATGCTTGGGGGAGCGGCGGCGGTGGCTGTGGAGGACTGCCGCTTCCCGGGGTCGTCGTTGCTGCTGCTGCTGCTGCTGCTGATGGCGGTGCAGGCACCTGCTGCGCAGTTCTGGCCCGCTGAGCCTCCAGTGCGGCCAGGATATGGGGCGCAGTCTCCTTCATACGTGTGGCAGCAGCGAAAAGTACGAACGCAGGTGGGGGTTGTTACAAAACGATAGGATAAAGCGTGGCAACCATTCGCTTGATCGCGGCACAGCAGTTATTGAAGTACAGTGACTACTGTAGTGAATGCTCATGCTCGGGCAGTACAGCAGTAGTCTGATCATATTCTTTGAAGCGAAACACCGCTACAGGGCAAAATTGCAGCAACGCGGACACGTTTGGGGCAGCTGTAAAGCACTAACTTCCCCACATACTCTGCTCCTGGTATGAATATGCATTTCTACCGCGCTGTCTCGATTTTCTTGACTGTCACGGCGGCAACGTAGAAGCAAAAAAAAAAAATGTCAAAGAGAACATGCCCTACCGTTGGTCGGGATCTGTTGTTTCTTCTCTTCTTCCCAGTCCCTCTTCTGTTTTTATTTGCGTTGAAGGTGGGCATGGTTTGTCCGCTGCCAGCTTGCAGTGGGGGGCCCTGGAGCCGTGGTGCTTTACGGCAGTGCAGGGTGAAGTCGGGCATGGAGGGGGGCCGAGGGATGAAAGCGGAGCAATCTGGAGTTCAAATGACGTGTTGGATTATTCGATAGGGATTATCTCCGCTCCGAAACGTTTTATATCCCGCCGATTGGCCAACGAGAACACGAGAACCAATCGGAGAACCGAGAGGAAAACAATCTTCATTATTCCTAATATGTTTAGCAAACCAGCAAGCTGTCAATAGACACTGCGCCGTGTCCCCTGTGAAGGTTACATTTTACAATACACGACACAACGGAGAGATTCTCCCCGATATTTTGTCGTTGACCCAGTAGAGAACTACAGGGGATGTATTGTAAAATGTAAGTTACCTACTTGTGTACAGATGTTTTTGTATTTCGCACCAGCTGGCATCACTGGTATAAATCATCAGTGTATGTAGACTTAAAAATACTCGAAATAAGTCCAGTACACAGCCGGTTTCCCTCTACTCACTGAAAATACTCCACCACATCCCGTTCGACTGTGGGTATATCTCGAATGGGTAGTCTTTCGGTGTATGTTTTTATTATTCCTTAAATCTTCATACAATATCTTCATCGCTGTGCCCCTGGCACCCTGGTACCTGGTACTCTGTACGTACTGCTGCTGTAGACTTATAAACCTGACGGGTTGCATACATCTCTGAGACATTCCATCATTCCATCCTGCAAACGCCGTATCAAACTTGCAGGCGCTATTCTTGAGATCGGGGGGGAAGAGGTATTCGGTGTGCTTTTTAGGCACTCTGCCACCACTGCCGCGTGGCCTGGAGATGCTCCCAGCCGTCTGTGAGGCACAACACAATATTTTGAGAGGGCACGATGCCACGGCCGACAGTACATACTTGAAGTATAATAGTTCCACAAGACACGCTTTCGACAAAGCGGGTCGTGGTGTCGTGGTGGCTGTGTTGGACATCAAGTACATAACCTGGCGGATATATATGCTCGTCGTGCGGGTGAGGCAAAATGATTGAGAGTGCGTTGAGTGCCTGTTCAGGTGTTGGCTGTCACCGTGACAATACTGTAGACTATAGATATTTGTCTCGTTTGCGACGATAACGACATTTGGGGCGGAACCCAGCCGAAGTTGTTCCGGTGAGCGGGACGCCTTGGGGCGTTCCATGGCCTCGCCCTCTGGGACGTGCGAAAATGACGTTCCGGTGGCCTTCAACGTCAACCGAGGGGCTACAATCAAAACCTATGCGCTTGTTTGCTTATTGGTGGTGGCACGGGTCCGCGAGCATTTGTTCTGACGTTCGCGTGAAACCGTTCAATTCCATGCCCAACACGCTTTCCAGCTCCCCCGCCCAGGGTCTCCTTTTGTCGGAGAGGAAAGATCATTTGGGTGGTTAAATAGTGCGAGCGACGATCGATGAACAAACAAACATGATGAGGAAAGAGAGGGGAAGCTCCGGGATAAAATTTAGGAAGCAGGAGGACGGTAGACGTTATGATTGTACCTGGTCCACGGTGAGTTTCAGACTGAACAGGATTGCACAAAGTGGTTTCGCATGGGGTGTCCGTCCGCGCCAACCATGCGACATGCGTACACAACGCATCTATCTATCTCTCTCCCCCCTCTACACAAAAAAAGTCAAATCGTCTGTTTTTTGTTCTTGAGTACTCTCATACAGAGTGAGTGAGTGGTACGCTACAGCTCGGTACATAGATCTACAGTATGTTGTAGTACAAGGGGCGCCTCCGGAGTGGGCTCATCAGGGCATATCAGTAGTGGAATCAAGGAAGGCGTGATGCAAGATTATTGTAAAGCATGTGTTGGTGTATGTCAGCTGCGAGTTGCCATCAGTCAGTGACGTTTCCCAAACTCGAACAAGCTCACACAGCTGACGACGCGTCTTTGACTCGAACAGCCAACAAACCTCCACGATCCAGAGATCAAAATTATTAATCTGTATTGTATGCAGTCTTTCATCGCTTTACTAGAGAATGACTTAGCACTCGGTTCTCATATACTACTAAATCATGACCCCCCGAGGAAGCCAGCCCCCCCGCACGAACGATTTCTATCCCAACCATCATCAGTCGGTATCGGTCCCCTCGCCGCAATCTAGAAGGACAAACCGTGCAACTTGAAGTGAATACAAGGACGACGGATATATGCCCATGATATATGCCCCTATCCAAGGCATGCGGAACTGGCCGCCTATCGAGACTGGAGGTAGCTTGAGTCTGGACGGTGAAGTAGATGACGACAGACACGATTACGTGTAGTGCCTTCTTCGTTTAGCATTGAAGTTCAATGCAATTAGCAAGCACGCGTCGGGGTAAACATTGTGAGGAACGGTGCGAGTAGGAACAAAAAAGAATGAAACGGAACCGCCGAATAGCAACAATTCCGACGGAAACTCGTCGAACTCCTCGCAGCCCTTTTGCAAACCCTCGTGCCAGCGCACCTCTCACTTCCTCTTTCGCACTCGTGGCAAGCTCACGAGATTCGAAACAGACATTCCGAGACCTTCAGCACAGCAGGATGGTACGTTCCGCAAAGTGAGACAAACCGGGGGGTGTCTGGGATCGCCAATCGCTTGTCGAGCAGCGTGATTCGCACACGTTCAATTGCTTGCAGTTCCCAAGCAAAACTATCTTGCTTCCACGCGGAGTCGAGCGGGCGTAGTGTCGTTAAACCTGACGTGCTATGTATTGCCCTCAGAACTTCGTAGAGCCGGGTACATAGAAGGTCCGGTCGGTCACACCTAGAGCATTCTACGACACCATAGCAGAGAAGGTGGTAGTCTACATACAGTAGGTCTCGTCTATGATTAGTTCAGTCTGCTGGGGGAGATTTCCAGGAAACTCCAGGTGCGCACTTTCATACCACGTGGTTCTGCTTGGTTCGCGAGGGCACAACGCGAGCCGCCGACCACGCTCGACCCGTAGGAGTGTCGGCCGATGGGGTCTCCTGCGCTTCTCTTGGAACGTCTAGCGCTGCCTCCGCACAAACCATAATCTAAGCGAATACCTGTCTTGAGCTCGCGCCGTTAGCGTGACGGACAAAAGCTCGATCGACCCCCTCGTGAGGAAAAATATAATTATTTGTCTTCAAGATAAAATCAAGGTGACTACAGTAACACGGATAGATGTGTAGACTGCACATACATGCCGGGTTTGTTTCGCGAGAATATTCACATGGCAACGTTTTGCTGATGCACACTACTCTGGTCGTTGTTTGCAGCTGCCACGTTGACATGATGCTCATTTCGTGCACGATACTGCTCCCAAACTCTGCCGAGATGGAGTGAGAGCCCACTGGTTATTGCGCCGAACCAAGGAAGTGTCTTTAAGAGTGCCGAAGCGAACGTTGGTGAAGTTTTTTTTGCGGGATTTGTGATGTTTTGGCCGAGATGAAGTTTAACAGTGGTTGGGGTGGTCGGAGAGATAAAAAACGTACGTAACTCATCAAGGGCCCACCGGCAACCATCGTCTACCACACTTGCGCTCATTCCTGCCCCATCTCCTCCCAATCCCCCAGCGTTGGAAGCAAGATTGCCGGCATGTTTTCGCGGGCGAAGGTCCTGCTCCCGGGGTACCGGCGGGCGGCGAAGGAGTTGGCAGAACGCCAGCAGCTGGGGTTAGAGTTCGCGGCCTACAAGTGGAAGATGGCCGTGGGGGGCGTCGCCTTCACGGTCTTGATCCTGATCCTGGTCCTGAGCATGGTGATACTGCTGCGGTGGTGGGGTAAGCGCCAAGCGGACCGTGAGTCCGCCCTGGTGCACACCGTTGAGGAATCAAGGGCAGAAACTGCTACAGCCAACGAGAAGACAATGCTTATCGAAGCCCAGCGAGACGTGAGTGCTTTTTCCAGCGCTGCCGTACCATACACGTCAGGCCAAGCCGGGTCGATGCCAGTACTATCGAAATACACTCTCTTCCGTCGGTAATTCACGTCCATTTCTCATGATTGCAGTGCTGAAATTTCGCCGCGTTCTTTCCACGCCCGTCCTGCGGATCGTTCCTCCACAGAGTGCAAGTTGATTTGTGTGATCGAAATCAACTCTTAGATCAAGTGATTTGTGCGATCGAAATCAACCCTTGGATCAAGTCATTTGTGTGATAGAAAAAAACGTTCGGAACCTATTCAGCGGGACTTCGTCAGCGGGACTTATTGTTCCGTGTATTTTTTTAATGTTTTGGGAACGGTGTTCCTGGTCCACATATGTATGTGTCCCAAAAACTCTGGGTTCATGGCCGCTTCCTTGAAGAGGCTACCTAGGAACGGCATCACTGTTGCGGAACGTGGCAGAGGGTAGCGGGAGCACGGTGTGGGGTCTGGTGTGCGGATTGCCAAACCAACCACGTTGCTGCTACAACATCTCCCCCATTATCAATCTCTGCGGAGAAGGCCTTCCGTTCGTTCCCCCATAACCCTGTCCGACGCCCTGTAGAGTATTCAGTAGCACACTATCATGAACAAACTTGTTCAACTTTCGCCACGTGGACATTGAAAGAGCAAGTACCCCTCCCGCCCCCCGCATACCGTACACGATCCTCGTCTGCAGACGGCACGCTCGGCCTGCAATGAGTACTAGCTCGCTGGTATCCAGAACAGGGAAGACGCCTACAGGGCGAGCAATCCATTGGCGCAAGTCGAAAGTCGAACACGATTTGCAGAAAACGACTTTAAGAACGCGCCGAAGTCCAGAAGCAGGTAGATGCTGTGACAGCGTCTCACACGTTCTGATTTGTTGTGTACGTTCAGCTGAGCAAAACTGTGAAGCTACACGAGGTACACAGTTCTATGTACATTATCCCTCCGATGGTCTCTTGGCATCGTTTAACATCGCTGACATTGCCGACTTAGTCGCTGGCCACAAATTCCCCTGCCCGCACCCCCACCTTCAAACCTTGCCTTGCAGCTCCAGCGCTTGGGGATGCTCTTCTTGAACGGCGCCATAATCAAGGAGGAAGAGAAGACGAAAAAGGCGGAACGTGACTTGGCGACATGTCGTGCCAAGTACGACGTACGTGCGACGCTCTGATCTGGACCCGATGGAACACAGCTGTGATGATCAGACGATACGGTGGTGAGTACGATTTGTGCATTTTTTCTCTGTGGAACTTGTGCAACTTTGCATACTGGTATGCCAACAGCATGCTCGTCGACCCATATGCTACTTTAATCTCTTCTCCAAGTGTCCCGCTGAAGGTTGCATGAAACCTCCACTCTTCACCCTTCTCCGGCGCTTGTCAGGAATGTCGGTCCTCGCTACAGTCGGCGAGGGACCAGATGACGAGGGATTCTGTTTCGGCTGAGGCGGTCGAAGAAGCTACCCGCAAGGCGGCAAAGAAGGTCGCCAATGAGGCCGAAAACAAAGAAGATGCCCTACGGTGCATGGTAAGTAGTCAAGAGAACATTTCTCTAGGGAAATTTCAGCCTCTTCCCCACCGTCATACTCGTCCTTCTGAAATAGCATAGAACCACGCCGGGTCCTATTCACGCAAGTCATATCATGGCAGCAAGCAATGTAAAGGCCGAACGTGGGGGAATCGAGCACGACGTGCGGCAGGGATATGTGCTAGATACGGTGCGGGTCCGACTTTGAACACCTCCATGGACCGAAGCATCACCTCCTCCATGTGCTTCAGGCCGAACCCTTCCTCGCCCAACTCGACGTTGCTGGCCGCGGGCGCGTCAGAGCCCTCGCGGACTTGCTGCTGCTGGGCTTGAGTCCCCTTCCCTTCCTCCTTCATCGAAGCAGTGTGGTCTGGTGCTGCTGCGACGGACGGCATTCTTGCGGGGCGGGATGTGTCAGAGGGTCGAGAGGCCGCCTTTGCTGCGTCTCCCTGTTGAATGGTGTCCTGCAGCTGGCCCCATAACGCAGACCCTTCTCCTTGTTCCTTTTCCAGAGTTCGCTTCAAGAGCCCAGTTTCGATATCCTCGTCACCGACCTACAGTAATTTTGTAACGTGAGGAAAACGGG